GAGGATCTCCTTCTTTTATGGTTGTATGTGGTGGATGGTTTTTGATAATAATTTTTATTAACGTCATATTGTTGTGTCGGTGGTGTATATTGCCTATTGAGGATTCTAGGTCTGCCGTGTAATCTGAAACCATTATGTAAAATTTGTTTTTCGCAAGCAGATAACAAATCTTCCTCTGATGCAAAAGCCGCATAAGCAATATTATTGTGAAAATAGCATGATCTAGCATTGAAAGAACGTAGGGTACGGAAAGCTTCTGCTGGTGTAGTTTTATTACTAAAACCTTTGAATCCAGCGACGTATGTGTTTCGATTTTTAAGTTCATCTACGGATGTATCTACATGGGCGCATCTAATGACTTGACCGTTAATATTATGGGCCCAGGCTGAATTCATTTGGTATGTTTTTGTTAGACTATCATATTTTACAATGACATCTCTTGAAGAATCGTAACGATTTCTATAATTATCAGAAATAGAGGTTATTTCTCCAAAAAATGAGAGTACTCTACCTATATGGTTGTGAGAAACATTATTTGGAACTGATTTTAATCTATATTCCAAATTATTGTGATTATTTTGTGACGAGATGTCTTCTTTGATAATGTTAAAGTGTAGTTTAGGGTAATTAAGGAGTGCATTATCAATAGAACTTAATAAAAATTTCCTATTAGTGAATTCTATAAATATGTGTGCATTTCCATCATGGAATTTCCAGTCAATGGCAACGAATCCTACTTGTTGTGAGAATATGGAGTTGATAAGTTCCAAGTTCTCCAACCGATTATCCCCAGGTAATAAGTTTGCAAGTATAGAAGCGGACGCATGTTGTTTGTTTTTTGTTGACGTCACACGAGAGTTGTTTTTTATATCGTGTCTAAGATCATCTTTGTGTAATATTTTATTTATAGAATTGTTATTAATGTTGTGTAATGACGCGTCTGTTGTATCTTTTTTTGGGGTTGAACTTTTGTTTATATCTTGTGGTTGGGGTTGTGTAACTGTAACGTGGGTAGGACGCGTATTGTTATTGTTGTTGAGGGTATTTGTAGACGCGTCTTTGAGATTTCTTTGTTGATTGTTGTTACTGATGTTTGTTGACGCGTCTTTTTGAATTCTTTGTTGTTTTTTATTGACGCGTTTGTTTTTATTATTTACTTTTTTATTTTCATTGTTTGAAGATGAAGGCGAGGAGTTTTCTTTACTCAAGGATAGTGAAAGAGGTAGTGTAACGTGTCTAAGGTTATTTTTTTCTTCTGTAATCATATCATCATCTTCGAGGGTGTTCATAATAGTATGAAGTTCGTCATCGTCATTAAGAGAAATGATGTCATCTTCTTTTTGTGAAGTGAGGGAAAGTTGTATTGTATTAGAAATAGTATCTTGAGTGGATTTAGT